TCACCTCTCACCCCCCCCCCCCCGCCCACCCCCGCCCGCCCTGGCCTCTAGCCCACATTCCTATGTCCTGTCCTCAACTCCTGAATTTCTCAGAGGCCCGCAGGGCACCCAGAGTAGCGCCCCTACCGGTGTTTCCACCTTGGCACACTGCCTTAGGCTGCTGGTCCAGACTTCCCTGGTCTTCGTGCCGCGGAAAGACTAATGTGTTTTTATACTTTGCAGGAAATTACAGAATTTTAAAACTATGGCAGACCTGCAGTTAGCGTGGCTTACACCTATGTAATCTCGATTGAACAGATACTTTTTATTTAAATGTTGTGCAGTTTTGGAGTAGTCGGAGTTGGAGCCCTAATGGACATCTCGATAGCCATTGACCTTTTCATATACGCGCTGTCATAACATCGTACTCTTAGAAACTATTCTCAGGCTGAGGTGTGACATCGTGATTGTAACAGTTGTACATTAACTGTTCTAAAGAATGTGAGTTGCACTGTTGCAGGTAGGCCACCGCAGTTAGATTTCCGTTTTTTGAGATAGTGGTGGTGAATGAAAGTTCTACTATTCTATCACATTTTCTCAAATTGGGAGATGTGTGGATTTCTAAGCAGTAAAAGAGACACCTGAAGCGTGCAACTTTTTAAAAGGTTTTCGCCTACTTGTGAAGCAGATGAGCTTCATTAGGATTAACACTGGTACTCTCTTCTAATGGAAAATCAGAATATACCCGAGTAGGTGATACAGGATGTTTTCTTACTTTTTGTTTATTTTTTTGTCTCCTAGTAAGGAATAGGATATAGTATTTGAATAAACATTTGACTTTTGCTTTAAAAAAATATGGGCAGTTCTTTTAGGAGCAAGTAAGTAATACTATCTCCTTTGCTAGTATCAAGTTATTTTACTTTTGAGAAAAATAAATAACTGGGATTTTCTTTTTTGCTTTCTAAGTAAAGATTAAAAAAATCTCATTTACTTCTTACACTCACATACCTTGTTCTGATTCTGATCCTCCCCTTCCACTCCGACCAGTCCTTTTCTTTATCCCAAAGGCAGGCTTTTTAAAAAAATGCCCTTGTGTTGGCTCTGTGTTCGGTCCTCGGCTTCTCTCTATCTGCTCCTGGGAAGATTCCAGTCATCCCCTCGTGTGTGAGGAAGCAGAACGTTCTGCCAGGCAGGCATGTTTCTGCCGCCCAGGCACACGAGGTTGCTGCTGGTAGGTGGGCGCACTGTGGCTGCAGACGTCACAGTTTTTCTCTTACATCCCATTGGCCAGCCACAGTGAAGAGAACAGCCAGGGCTGTGTCTTCCGTCCCGTTACCTAGTTGTCGTTAATTATATTTAATCTAAAGAGCCATTGTGCAGAAGACAGGATTTAGCCTGCTGAACGTGGCTCTGCCATTTGTTTCGTAATGCCGTTACACTGTTCTTCAGGAGTCAGTTCGGAAGGAAGGTAGCTTTCTGGTGGGGAGAAGGGGTTTGGAGAAGAACTTTGCCACGAAAACCAGAGTGTCGGAAAAGTGGCGAGTGAAAGACACCTGAGAGGCACCAGTGGTCACTGTCTCTGTCGTGGGGCGCCATGCTGTATTCGGGGCTGCAGGGTTTTACATTTCAGGGTCTTTTTCCTCCTCTATATCTTCGGTTTGGGGGTTTGCTGACGGGGGAAGCCTGTGCCTGAGAAGTAGAAGTGTCCCCCCCCCTCCAGGGGTAATTTGTTGAACTAAGCAGTTGAGGTGTCCATGGGATTGGTATGTTAACTCTTGTCTTTTGGGGGCTTGAAGTTTTCTTGCTGAGCATGTCACTTAAGCCTCAACTTTTAGTGTAGAGCAGGGGTTAGGTGTGGTTTAGGGGGTCGCCAATTAGGGGCTTCGGTAACCTAGAATGACACAGTGGGAGAAGTGGTTTTGTCGTTTAGGTTTTGTATTTTTTAATTTTCTTTGAGCCCTCTGAAAGCAGAAAGCTAGTGTTTTGGAGCTAACGTCTAGAGCTCCCAGCGCCTGCCGGGCTCCCTCTCACAGGGATGCTGGCCTCGGGCTCCGAGCCTCTGCGCAGGGCACACAGCTACACTTTAATAGCTTTGTACGTCGATTCCTGCGTTGCCTCTTCTTTGGTGGCAGATGACACCGCTTTTCCATTTTTAATAGATTTCTTTTCCTTTTTTTTTAAAGTGCGAGTTGTTTTAAGCGCAAGGGGGCGAATCTAGGAAGCACCTGTTGGGGAGTGGGGACATGAGGAAGATGGGAAAGGTGAGGAGGCCAGTAAGGAAGTCACTGCTGTGAGCAGTGGAAGCCGAATCCCCGTGAGGAACTCAGGGAGTCGTGTGGCTCATGCACCCCACCGGACAGCAAAGGAGGTGCTGGGGTGCCTGCACCGAATTTCCCATTAGTCGGCACTTAGGTGGGTCTTGGAGGTGTCGTTCTTCAGGCGGAGCAACACTGGTGCCAGAGCGAACACAGGCAAATAATGGGAGGCCTTGACAGTGGCCTTTGTGTCCACAGTGTCTAGGGGGGAACCAGAAAAACCCCAAATTTATTATAAATATTGTATATTCATCTTTACATATTTAAACTTCAGTCACTTCAGAGTACTCTCCATCTGGTGCAGTACACCTCTCGAAATGTGTTTCCACCGCTCCAGTTTATGAACTTGTCAATTTTGATGCCTTTTAGTGTTTCTCCATTTTTTGTTTCACCTCTTCCACGTTGGCAAAACATTTCCCTTCGAAGATATTTTTCATCCAGGGGAAACAAAAAAAAGTCACTTGGTGGTTGAACTGGTGAATAGGGAAGGTGGAGCCAGGGGTCACGCAGTTTATGGTCAAAACTGCTGAACACTCAGGGCGGTGTGGGCAGGTGTGCCTCAGAATCGCCCATGATGAAATGGGCGGATGCGTTGAAAGGGTCCTAAAAAATTCACTGAAGCTGAATGCAGCCTCTTACAACAGCACCAGCTGGTTACACTGATGCAGGTGGGTTCCTAGAGCACTCACCTAGTGGGGGAGTCTGTACCACATGGGGCCACCCTCCAGAAGACAGTTCCAGGTTTTGGGGGGGCCCCCCTTGTCTGCAACCCTCTCAGACATGCTAAACGTCTCCCGTATCCTCATCATTTTAATAAACAGTAACCCCATCCTGGTGCTCAGGCCAAAAACATTGGAGTCATCCTTGACCATTCTTTCACATCCCACAGTCACGCCATCAGCAAATCTCATTGGCTCTTCCCAGCTTACACTGCCACTGTCTGGCCCCACCCCCATCCATCACATCAGGGCCTCCTAACTTCAGTTACTCCTGACTCAGCCCCTGGAATGATCCATCCAAAACCGGAGTCAGATCAGGTCCTCTGTCCCCTCACAGCCTCCCCTTGACTCAGTGTAAAGCCAGAGTTGTCACAGTGTTCCGCAAGGCCCTGCAGTTTGGCCTCTGTCCACCGTGTGCACGTGCATGTGTGCACGCCCACGTGTGAGCTCACCCAGGTACAGTTCTTCTTGTTTTTCGCCTTGTGTGCACCCAGCAGTTCTTCCTTTCAGTTCAGGTTGTGAGACTCGTTTGTAGATTAGACTCATCACAGTTTGTGTTTCACCTTCACCACTGCATCCTGGTTGATTTTTTTTTTAAATTTTCATACAGTAAATTTATGGTGTAAGTCTTGGTTTTGACAAATGGGGTGGTGTGTCCACACAAAACAGTACATTGTCCTAAAAATTTCCCCATATCACCCCTTTGTAGACAGACCGCCCCACCTCCCAGCCCCTGGCAACTGCTGACCTGTCTTCCTCTGTTAGTTCTGCCTTTCGTGTAAGTGAGAATCTTACAACATGCAGCCTTTTGGGTCTGATTCTTTCACTTGGCAGAATGCGTTAAAGATTATTTCATGTTGTATGAATCACTAGTTAATTTCTTGTGTCCTTCAAAGTAAACTTAAACAAAAAAAACCCTAGATTGATTGAAAAAAATATTCAACAAAAACTGATATAGGCGGTACATAGAGATGAGAAACATCTTGAACCCAAGTGACTAAGATTTGGAAATCGTCAGTGTGATAGAAAGATTCCTGGTAAAGGCTATGTTTTACCTGGTGCCTCTGCCAGTAGTTAGCCATGAACTCTTGGGGGGAGGGGGGACAGCCGTCTGTTCCGCAGTGTCTGGTGAAGGAAAATCCTGAATCTAGTAGTTGTTAGGTCTGCTCTCGTGGGGAAGTGGAGGTTCATAGGACATGTGGTGTTTTAGGTGCTTTGGGTAGTTCTTTTTAACATCAGCTTCATTTCATTGTTGTGAAATAGTTGTCACCCCTGGATTTCATAGTTGTTAGGAGCAGCTGTTACGAATGCTTTATTAAACCCGGAGGCCAGGAATGAGCCAGCCAGTGGGAATGAGGTAAGCCTTCCTGCCATGCAAGGCTGCAGTTCATCAACATTCATCAACTTTGTTTTTTCACCCCCTCTCCCTCCTGTCGGGCTTTTCCGAAGTGTAAGATAAAGAGCTAGAGCCGCAGTCAGAGCTGTAGTAATAATGCCTGGGGGTTACTAGTGGTTCAACGAGTCTCTGCAGGTCTCTAGCAACTTCTTTGCTTGCTACAGTCTTTGGACTTCAATTTGCAGAGTCATGTGCTCGGGTAGATCTTCCCCAGGTGTCCCAGAACCTTATCGTGGTTCAGTGAGGCCATCTTTGTACATCGTTGGCAAGCGTGTTCGAGAAGCTCCCCTGACAGCGGACGCTTGCAGAAAGCAGGAGGGGAAAGCCAGTGATATTTGCTTGTTTTGTTGTTACTTTCAAAGCTGGACAGACTCATAGAAATTCCTTTTAAAATCAAATTAGTGGCTGCTTAAAACCCCTGACCCAGGTTGCTGCTTTTTCTTTTTTAAGTTGGAGGTGGGTTAGTAATTGAGTTGTATTTCGGTGGTGGACTATCAGTGTGAAATCAAAAAGGAATTTGACGGTGCAGAATTGCTGTAGTTTTTGTTTACATGTAACAGTAGTAATATTTATCTTGCTTTTGACTTTTAGTGATGAATGTTATAACTATTGAAGACTATAAGAGCACATACTGGCCAAAATTGGATGGTGCCATAGATCAGCTATTGACCCAGAGCCCTGGAGACTATATCCCCATCTCCTATGAACAGATATACAGGTGGGTGTGGGTCCCATTTGCTGGGGTTGAGGGGTGTGTCGGGTTCGTGGCGGTGTGAATTATGGCAGCGTGTCGGCGTGCGGTGTGTAATACAGGAGCTGTTGATGTGTCACACACTTGTGGGCTGGAAGCTCGGCTTACACTTTCTGCTTCAGAATTGGTGTCCAAATCGGGGTAGAGTCAATCCCACTGGACTGGACTTCTTCCGCTTCAGCCTTCCCTTCTGCCATACGTGATGCAGAATCAACGGTGGTCAGCAAAAGTGGGCGTGTTTAGTCTCCCGGTGGGGGGGCCCCTCACTCATCTGTTGATGTTCATTGACACACAGTTCTGCCTCTGGTGGTTTGGTCTCCCAGCTCCTGGTAAGTGGAAGCAGCAGACTGGTGGGGACCTGGGGTGGGGGTGAGAGGAGCCCAGTCACAGGAGGAGGAAGTGCCACCCGAGTTGTTCCGCACGAGATGCACAGAGAGGTTACATTGCACATGTATGTGGGGGAGTTAGAAACTTTCCCTGGGATCACCCCCTCTTCCTTGTTTTGACATCGTTACAGCGAGAGAGGGGGTGGTTTTGTAGGAGTTGCCACCGCCTCTCAGGTTGTTCAGTGCTGACGAAATGTGCAATGGAGCACTCAGAAGGGCTGTTTGTTGCTGCTGGTGACGCTTCTCTCATCGGAACACGGGTTGGGGCGGGGTAAATTTTTACTTGAAGTTGTGATCGGTCACTGTTTTTAGGCCCGAGTGGATTATTTGACCAGTGGCTGTGGATGCTTTAACTGTAGGCTGAGTTAAGGGCTCCATCACTAACTTGGTTTCTCTGTGTTCTCCTCCCACAGTTGCGTGTATAAATGTGTGTGCCAGCAGCACTCGGAGCAGATGTACAGCGATCTGATCAAGAAGATCACCGAGCACTTAGAGAGGGTCTCGAAGGAGCTGCAGGTACACAGCCGAGTGGCGCCTTCCGCTTCCCTGGGCTTTTCGGAAACTGGCCTGTGTGGCGTATCTTCGGAAGCTTGTTAATTTGAGTGTGATACAAATTTACAAACATTTTCTAGATGGATAGTGACCGAATCAGCTCATCGTTATAATAGATTATTTAAAAATTTTGACATAAATTGTGGAAATTTTCATATTGCCTATATTTCAGACCTTAACTGATTCATTTATTACCGTGTGAATATTTCTTTTATTTAAAACCTCATTTTTTTCTGTTAACTTTAGTATTTGGTGGCATTTGTAATATAAGCATGTATATGTTCATTTTTTTCCCGGGACTTTTAAAAAATTATCTTTGAAGAGCAGTTCATGTACCAGGTCCTAAAAGTCGCTAATGCAGACAACCGGAGTCGGCATTTTATTGGTAAGCCCTCTGCAGGTGAGCATCGTCCTGGCGGTACCGTCCCGGGGAAGGTGGAGAAAATGTTCAGGGGAACACGTGGCCTCTCGATCCTCGCAGCGCCCCTCTCTGCCCCCGTGTAGTTCCCAGTGCTTGGAGGTCAGGTGCTGTTTTTACGCCAGGGCCGGGTCACGTTTGAGTTCTGGTGTGGAGCAGCAGCGAACAGAAGAGTCCCTCTGCAGTAGACCGCCAGGGTCCGCAGCTGGGGCGGGCCCGGCAGTTCCGAGATAGCCCGTTTCTGGGGAGCGCTGGGAGTGTTGGGGGCTTGGACATCGTTCCTCATTACTGCGCGCCGAGGTTCCTTAGTCCGTCTCACTCTGAACTGTTGCTGCACTAAGTAGACTATTATTTATTGTAGCCAAATAATACACTTTTCCTCTTGTTAGTGTAAAATGTTTCCTTCATCTTTTTGCCACTGACACAGTCTTTACTCATTTAACTGTGTTTGGTGCCGAGGCGTTGCGCACAAATTGTAGATGAGACCCAAGACCTGTGCAGTATGGCTCTGAGCGTTTTACTTACTAATCCTTTTTTTAATTTTAAATAATTTTGTATTTTAAATTATAGTTGACATACAGTATTATGTTAGTTTCAGGTGTACACCCCAGTGATTAGACATTATATAACTTAAAAGTGATCACCTGATATATCTTGTACCCCTCTGACACCTACTTAGTCATTATGATATTATTATGATACTTAGTTATTACGATCTCATTGACTGCATTTCTGGTGCTGTACTTCACATTCCCATGACTATCCTGCAACTACCAGTTTGTGCTTCTAATCCCCTCACTTCTTCACCCATACCCCCAACTCCCCTCACATGTGGCAGTTGTCAAAATGTCCTCTGTATCTGTGAGTCTCTGTTCTGCTTGTTTATTTTGTGTTTAGCCTGTAGGTATTGCTATCTTAGGTTTTTGTTTGTTCCCATTTTTTATAAAATATCTTTTTCCATTATTTACTTTCAGTCTGTATGTACCTTTTGACCTGAAGTGAGTCTCTTAAATGTATACATTTAAAAAGCAAAACACTGTCTCACTCAGTTCAGAGTGTAAAGAGCCTTGAAATCCTTGTTGTGGAGTGTGTGTGGTCTCCTTCCCCATCTCTGAACACGTTTGGGAAGCTCAGGGAGTCCTAACCAAGGTGAACCCAAAGAGGACCACACCAAGACACACCACGAATAAAATGCCAAGAGTAAAGACAAAGAGAATCTTGAAAACAGCAAGAGAAAAAGCAGTTATATGCAAGGGAGTTCCCATAAGACTGTCAGATGATTTTTTCACAGAAACTTTGCAGGCCAGAGGGGACTGACAAGAAACACTCAAAGTGATGAAAAACAAGGACTGCAGCCAAGGTTACTCTACCCAGCAAGGCTGTCATTTGGAATCGAAGGAGCTTCCCAGCCAAGAAAAAGCTAAAGGAGTTCATCACCACCAAAACTGTGTGTGACAAGAAACATGAAAGGGTCTTTTTTTAAGAAAGAGAAAAAAGATAAAAAATGTGTATAATAAAATGGTAATGAATGCATATCTATCAACAATTGCTTTAAATGCAAATGGATCACATGCTCCAATAAAAAGACATATAGAGGTTGAATGTGTAGCAAGTCAAGACCCTAACCTGTGCTGCCTTTTCATCTGCCTGTGTTCTCTCTCTTTTGGTTTCTCTTGCCACTGCTCTGTCCTTTCTTCCCTTTCCGTAGAGGGGGCGTTCTACCTGCCCGTGAGGGTTTGCCCAGCATTTAGCTTCATCATTCCCCATAGGCTCAGTTCATCACTTTCTCTTCTTTGCTTCTGTATCACTTTATTTGTATTGCTACTATAGTCCTTAGTTTAGCACAACAGGTGTTTGAATTGATGGTGGTTAGACCATCTTGTTTTGCCCCTACCACCCACCACTTTGGGTAAATGAATTTGTTGAACATAACTAACGTCCTTTACTCTTAAAACTGCCTTAAGTGACACTTCCACATTTTGATTATTTTTGTGGTATGTGTGAATTTGGAATTCACTGGAGAAGTTGTGAGACATTGTCTCCCTAAGTAGTGTTGATAAATTCATTGTATATGTTAATTCATTTTGTTAGGTTGAGAGTATATTTTTACTTTTACCAAGTAGGAAACCATTAGTAAACTTCCTTTGACATTGGTTTGGAACTTAACACTGTGTATTGCCTCCAGTGAACAGTGTTTGACCAGATTTGGTTCCTGGACAGGACAGCAACATTGAAGTGTTAGGAGGAGCACCAGTGATACCACCTGAGTTCAGGGTTCAGAGAAGACTGCAAAGACGGGGGAAAGGAAGATGGTGCGATGTTTATTAAAGTATTTTGATGTCTTCTGAGCTGCACACATCTTGAGTTAAATGTAGTTTGACTCTAAAACCAGGTCATAATGGGAATTAATAGAAAATAAACCATCATCGGTTAACGTTACTTAACTTTGACTCATTTTTCAGAGACACTGCTCAATTGCCAACAGACTGAGCCGGGTTCTCTTGTGGTTTAAAGTCAGAGCAGGGGCTGCTGTGCTATTTGTGTTTTGTCCGGTGGGTGGCAGCATGACTCACCATGTCTTGTTACCTGGTCGTTCGGAAGTTTCTGTTTTTATTGTATCTATACCTGTTGAACCACACAGTATTAAAAAAGAAAGCTTTCATTCCCCCAAATACGGTATTTACTCCTTGTTAGAGTGAGGGAGATTCTAGATAATAAGTTGCCTGTTACCCCTTTTACATATATTTCAAGTAAAATAAATATTATTGCCAGCTGGTAAGTAACTCTCCACATGTGTATTCTACCAAAATGTTCTTTAATAAGTTACTTGGAGATGTTTTTTAATCCATGCTAGAATTTAAAGCAGTTGCTGTAGCAGAGTTGTTCTTGGCTTGGAGCATTTGCCAGTGAGGTGCCCTGCGTGTTCACTGTCGTCCGCGAAGGCAGGACGGTGTTTTCTCCCCACCACGCTTACCATGCTGCCGGGTCCCAGAGCGAGCTCTCAGAAAGTACCCACCGCTGATGTTTAGTTTTACAGCTGAGGTTACTAGAACCGTCTTACTTACTCAGTTCAGACAGCTTCCGGAACTCAGAAGGTGGAGTTGGTGGTGAGCAGGAGAGTCAAATCACTTAAGTAAAGAACAGTTATTTGCAGTAGTTTATTGCCACAGTGCACACAGTACGGTTAGGAGTTGCACTCTTTTAAAATAAACTTTGTTTTGAGACAGTTACGTCCTTACATTGGAAAAAGTAAGGGAACAGTTTACTTTAAAAAATAAGCACATATGAACAGTGAAAGGACAGCAAACTCACAGTTATTAAGAACCACACCTAAAACAAAAGCAAACTAAGAGGACAGCTAGATCAGGAGCAAACCATAGAAATGAAGATTACATGGAGGGTTAGCAACAGGGGAGTGGGAGAAGGAGAAGGGGGGAGAAGGTACGGAAAATAAGTAGCATAGACAGTAGGTAGAAAATAGGGGGGAGGGCAAGAGTAGTAGGGGAAATGTAGAATCTAAAGAACTTGAGACACATGGTCATAAACTAAAGGGGGGAATGGTGGGGGAGGGGTGTGCCGGGTGGAGGGGAATGAAGGGAATAGGACAACTGTAATGGCATAATCAATAAAATATATTTTTAAAAAAGGAAAAAAAATAAGCACATAGGGTTAAGTGGTAGTTTTTGCCAAGCGTTTGAGAGATGAGGTGCATGGGAAAGTGCGAGGTCATCCTAGTCCTGACCTCGGGATATTTTCTGTGTTAAGTACTAATCTGTGGGTCTCTTGTGACTGCTCCGTGTCACCTGGCTAGTCGGTTGAAGACCCTGGGATTAGAACCCAGATTTATCTTGTTATGTGGATAAACTGAAGGAATCCAGGAACACAGAGGTCAGACTTCCCATGCAGGTTACTGTTTAAGACACTGAGGAAAGTCTTATTTTAGAAATCAATGAGGAAGAAATGTCTGTACTGTAGTAGTAATAGTCATAATAGTAGCAGTTAACTTTGGGAGTTAATACCCCTAAGAGAAATGTCTTCTGGGCTCACACTCACTTTATTGCTACTTGTGATGAGAAACTCATTGTTACGATTTATAATAGGAGCGTCTAATGTGTTAATGACAGCTCAAGGCTCCTGCAGTTCATTTCCCTTCTGTGTAACTTACCGGTTTTGGATGGTCTGCAGTGGAAACACTACCTCTGCAGCAGGACCGAGAGCACAGTGTCAGAGCTGTTTGGGGAGCTCCCTTTCCAGGGAGCCCCTTCGTCAGCCTCAGGTGGGACTGACGCTGCTCCTGGAGCCGTGACCCCGCTGGCTGCTGGCGGTGTGGAGACTGCTCTGGAAGGTCATGGAATAAGCTAGTTAGACTAAAAGCGTATTACACACTGTTTCTTTTTGCTAAAGTTGGTTGTGTAGAGGCAGATTTTTTAAAAAGGAATTTCTAGTTTGATTCAGAAAATAATATTAAGGATCCTTGAGAGAACATCAGGTCCATTTGTATGGTGTCCAAAATGCCAAAATCATACCTGGTAATATAGGAATAAAT